ATGTAAAAAAAGCGTAGAATAATCAATGGAAAATGGTTTATGAAAGTGCAGCTAGACACAAATCCTCATCAGGGTATTTGAAAACAGTTCATATACCCTTTCAAGGGTTTGTGAAAGCTTTATCTATCAGGATTATTATAATCTTTATATTTATTCTTTTGGTCAAATAATTGATAAGCTGTAGTTCCAATACTGAAATCATCATCCGAAACATGAACTAAACTATAGAGATTTTCAGTAATAATACCAAAAAATGATTGAACATATCGAGCAATGAATTTAATTAAATGATATAGCATTGTTAAACGGTTAACAAAAGTATTCATAAGTAAATTGAGTATTATTAATCCAATTAAACGAAATATAATTACAATAAATATTAAGAAACAAATATCTCAAGTCAAGTTCATGATTTAATTATCTAAAAGTAAAAATGCAAAATTGTACTTCATATTGAATATTACGATAGATATGACTGAACATGATTTCAGATTCTGTTCATGGACTGATTTACCTTTCTCAACCAAACCCAACTTGTTGCCATAGGATGCTGACACACACAACAGTCAACTTATATCGTCTAGTCGTTCGAAACCCTAATCTGGGTAATTTCATCGCAATCATTCAGATTATTTGAACTCTTAACCGTATAAATTTTACCGAATGTAAATACCACGTGCGTTTTTCGTACGTGTATATCTTTTTTCATAAAAAACTCGCTATATGAGAGCGAAACAATACTCACCTTTATTCGACCATTGCAGATGAAACAACTAGCGTGCAACACTATCGTTCCTATCCTATTATAACCCTCTATTGTCATAACGAAAAAGAGCGACTATTTACTCAAGAATTGAGATTGAGTCTTATAAATCCTGCACTCTCACGAATAATAATATTACTACGAATTAATATTCATGCATGTGTGCTTAATCATCTAATTTACTTATCCGCAAAGAGATGCTTGTAAAATGCTGACAACAAATAGTGATTTGTGAAAACACATGCGTTCTCTTACTCAAGATCCCTGTTTGTCCTACAGGTCAGAATTTTTCTTCTGTCATTGTTGCTATAAGATATGCGGTAAGTAAATGACGATGCGCAGATAAAGAAAGATTTCATATTTTAAAAAGCGTGAGAAATACAGACATTTGCTATTCTTCTACTAGTTACAACAAAAAACGAAGCTAAGAATGCTACAATATCTAATTTGCTTATTTGCGTAAGTGTTAAAGACAAATATGAATTTAAAACTTCAACGTTTCATCCATCTTATCACGATTGTAAAAAGCCTCGGGCCAAAAAAACGAATCATCATACCTGTCAATCGAGTTTTAAACATTCGTAAGAAATGCTGAATATTCTTTATTGTTTTTAGAATATTTGCTGCAAATACTGGCAAGTGCATGGCATCATTTTAAAACTGTGAACTAATTTCTTTCTAATGTGTCTCTTTTTTTCTCAGGTCAACCAGTTTATAAGCAATCCAGCGACTGTAAGTGTAAATAAAGTTAATAAATCATGATATCATTAAATATTTTAAACCTTCATCTAATCTTCATTCCTAATATCTGTAGTTAATATTGATCTAAAATTTCAGTTACATTATAGCAAAAAATTTATGAAATCGTCTGTCATACAAATTGGCAGTTACAATATCAGTTCAGTCAAAAAGAGAAACAAACTCAAATATTTTGATTTAATGCGTAGGTCCAGGCAATCTTAAATGGAGCACAACAGCAACGACAGTCATGGGCAATGGTTACGGTTCAGATCCAGATCAATTAAAATATGCTGACGGCTTATTTATCGAACCTAAAACACAAATTTTATATGTTGCTGATGCTGCCAATAATCGTGTTCAAAAACGTTATCCAAATGGTAAAATCGAAACAGCGGCCGGGAGACCAGATGGCGAAGGTGGATCAACACCAGACAAGCTAACGAGTCCTTCAGGTGTTTTTGCAGATGAAAGTGAAAATGTTTATGTTGCTGATTTGCATAATCAACGAGTTCAATTTTGGCAAAAAGATGCTAAAAGTGGTAAAACAGTTGCGGGTAATGGAACTACTGGGTCAGCATTAAATGAATTTAATTCTCCGATTCGAGTTTTGCTTGATTCAAAGAAAAATATCATCGTGGTCGATTTGCAAAATCAACGTGTAACACAATGGTCATTACCATATGATCCAACAAAATCTGTTGGCACACTCTTAGCTGTATGTATTGATTTTATTTTCGTTGAACGAGATCCTATCCTATACTTTTGAAATGAAAAAAAAGAAACACATCTAACGTTTACATTGTCTGAACTGCACTGAATTAAAAATGTCTTATACTCAATTTATAAATGATGAGGCATAGCTGAATGGTTGACTAAAACACGGTAAAATTAAAAGGATTACTATAGTTTATTGATACGAGATCTTCTTCTTTCAATTATCTTACGATATTTCCTGTACCGATACCTAGCCCTTTCTAAAATATTTGAATGAAGATCAAACAGATTGAGTTTTACATAAAATGGCAATCGTTTTATATATTGCTATATTTTGAATGGTTAATACTTCGTTTTTGCTCTAGGGTGGTAATGGTGCAGGTCTTAATCCATATCAGTTAAATTTTCCAGTTGGATTATATTTCGATGAACCAAATAATATATTGTACATAGCAAACGATGTATCCCATTCAGTAACGCAATGGGAACTTGGAACTTATGGTACTAAGTCCATATATGCAGGTATTCCAGGCAGACCTGGTAGTTCTGCAGCTCAATTAAACGGTCCCGAAGGCATAACTCTTGATAAGTATGGTAATTTATATGTCGCTGATTGTATGAATAATCGAATCCAAATGTATTGTCCCAATGCTGTATATGGTATCACAATTGCGGGGACTGGACGAATGGGTAATGGAAGTAATGAATTTTATTTCCCCCATGATGTAGCATTTGATTCGGAACTCAATTTATATGTTACAGATACATATAATTTTCGCATACAAAAATTTGAAAGAATAAAATAAAAAAAATTAATTATTGGTCGATATATTTTCCATTTCTTCTATATAATACATTCATTTTAACAATGAAAGGTGTATCGAAATGAAACACTAATTGTACTGCGGGGTGTGGGTGGTGGATATGGGTGATGGGTGGCTGTGGGTGTGGAGCGGGTGTGGGATGTGAGGGTGGATGTGGGTATGATAGCCCTATGGGCACATACTCACATCTACACCCACGCCCACACACCCACACCCACACCCTACCCACACCCACACCCACCCACACCCACACCCACATTGAAATGACATAAATAAAACAATGTTAAACAATACATATTGTCTGTCTATCGATGCGTGTATGTCTGTTAGAGAGATGTTTTAGAATTGGTATTATTTGGTGATGCTTCATTTAGTTTCAGTCAAATAAATGCACTAGAAATCAAATAAATATGGGTGAAAGTAGTAATCGATAGAGACGAAAATTCGATTTTGTGATTGAGATGCTAAAGGACTCTGAAAAAACATAAAACCAAAAATGACATGAGTGTAAATAAAAATTTTCTCTTTTCCATATACTAGCTATGTTGTTTTCGATACAATCGATAGTGACCTATAGACCCACATTTCAATCCAATTGCATTCGATTCTTATTCAAGGTCTGACTCATACTCACTCGAGTGGGTGTTAATATGAGCAAAGAGAAAACAAAATCCATACTCACATCCACAAGAAGTAACATTATGCTGCGTGACAATAATAAATAGAAAAATTTATTTTTGAGATCAATTGCTATGTTTATGAATTAAAAGAGCTGAATGATAGGCTACATGACAACAATGATAAAACGAATGTAGCGCTCGTTTAATTGTTAAAGTAAAAATGTCAGAAGCTCTCATAGCTGCAACTGAGTCAGTTCTTGGTTTTTTTCTGCTGTTGTTCTTCAAATGGATCTAGATGGCTTCATGTTTCGTTGAACCACTCTTGTTCTTACCGTTGCTCATATTGCCATGGATAATTGTGGGTGTAGTTTAATCGATGTCCACACCCAAGATCATTCCATGTATATCATAAATGTCTTAGTAGTAAACGTATCTGAAAAGTTTCCACCCTAACCCAACGAACAGTTTTTGAGAAAATTGTAATATTGTCTTTTGAAACTTCGTTAAGTGTCACAGTTATTATACTTCAATAATCATATTGAAAAATAAGATCTTTGAGACATTTTTCTCTTAAATAAGACTTATGAACATTTACTTTGAGCGAAGAAGAAAACATCAGCTCAAAATATATACTCAATTTTCTCTGCTTTTCATTACCTTTTAGATTAATTTGTATATTTATAAAATCTAAATTAATAAATGACGACTTTAAAAGTTTAACTACAATATTAATCTTTAAACATTCTTATTCTTAATATCATATTGAATTTGATTCATTCGTTATTGTTTATTATTCAAATTTTAATCATGTCTATGCAGACTGTTATTGCGCCACATTTTTCTAAGATATAACGCCTCTCTTAGTCTTTCACTGATATGACAGTCAAACATTTATCATAGTTCAATATTCACATGTCCTAGAGGAATGTCCACTCCAGAAAACGACTGATTAAAACAACGTCGAACATATTTGATGAGGAATATAATCTATTGAGTTACTATCAAAACTAATTTTTCAGATCTTTTAAGATGAAAACAGCACAAAATTCTCAACGGATATACTTTTTACTCAATTAAAAAAAAATAAAAATCTTGCCTAAAAACTGTTCGATTAACAATCAATTTAAAATTTGCCTATGGTATCGACTATGTTGAACTCTATTCTTGTTTTATAACCAATAAACTTCATTGATATAAGCCATTTAGTTGCACATATCGAAATATGTGTTTTTTGTTTAATAGAAAAATCATCTGTTACCGTAATCTTCTCTCATAGACAAGCCAAAGCAAGCAAAAAAAATGATATAAAATTCATTTTTACAGAAGAAGGAATTAAAGTTAAACTTTATAACGACCACGATTGACAAGTTGTAGAGCTGGATTTTGCTATAAAAAGAAGAAAAAAAATGATTTATTTTTAATAAAATAAATTTATATATGTTGAACTTACCATTTTCATCATTTCTTCTTTAATTAATCGAGTAATTTCCTCTTTAGCTAATTGAAGACTATATGCAGTTGATGATTCAATATGTAAATAAAGTTTTCTATCATCTTGTGTAACTTCTTTATTATTTGAAAAATATTGACCATGTACAGATATATCAACATCAGCATACTCACATATATGTGCTCGTGTTTCCTATTTTGAAAAAAAAATATTCTGTATTCTCAATAAATGTATCTTACTTTGCTTAAAATTTTCGATCGAACATTTTGTGGAAAATCATTTATTTCTAACTCTTCTTGAAATATTTTGGATACATTTAGAGTTACTTGTATTTCTTCTTCGGGTTTTTCATAATGTAATTTTCGATTTAGTTCATTCGCTCGTTGTTGTGCTACAATACGATTCTAAAAAAAAAGAACAAGAAAAAACGACATATTCTATAATAAATATTCGAATAGTTTATGAAATACTTACGGATACACCTGTATTTAATATACCACCATGTTGAAATAATGAAGTTGTTGCTTCTTGTATGGCATCTCGAGTTTCAGATTTGGTGAATGTAAGTCTTAAAATAAAATCGAAATTCATTGTTGTTTTATTTGTTCAAACTTGAATACAATCGTAGAGGAAAAAAAAGAATTAATCAATAGTTTTCTATGAATTTATCAGTGAGTTAATATGAAAGCAATTCGAGATGTACACAGTAAGTTCTTTTTTTTTGTATAGTGTATACTGACCGAGAAAAATTTTCATATACGCGAAACTCGATCGAACCGTACTATGATATTCTTTTAGAAGATTATTAATCGAAATCGAATAGTCATGTTTAAAGATACGAAATAATTATTTCCATTTTGTTTAGTTGTTATCGTTCAAAGAGAAACTGTATAGTTGTTTAGGAAGGTTGAGTGAAGGAAATTCAAGATCTGATGTTTAAATGAATCTTTTTTTCTTCGAGATATATATCAATAATAAAGCTCACTGTGTAATATAAGTATTACAGAATAGACAAGCGTAAAAAAGTAGAAAAGAGCTGAAATAAGATTCTTTGTCAATTTTAAATAAAAATAATCAATGCAATCAAAAACTTTTCGAAAATTAAAATAAAAGTGTCTTGCTTGAAAATTCGATCTTGAACTAAGTATATTCATATGACATGAAATGTCCAGTTCTTTACGGTAACACTTTCAAGAGATACGCAACAAACAAGAATAAGGAAATAATTCATTTCTAAGGAGAGAAACGTTCTATGTGTCAAAACTGGCACTCTATAATTATAAAGATATTCGTTTATATAATAGTAACAAAGTTTAATTTAAAATATTTTGTTTTTGAAAAAACAATGATTTTTTTAACGTAAACTTTGATTGAATATCTCTGAGTTGAAAGCTACTCGATCGCGAAATTAATTACAGATTTGGATTTTTCGATTCACATTCTTTAATATTCATCATCAAATCAAATATAAATAAAATCATATTTACCTAGCTGCTACTTGCGTAGCTAATTTTAATTTCGATGCTATATCATTAACAGTTGTTGAACCATTAGTTTCTTCATTTTGATTAACTAATGTCTTATCGTTAGTTTTAATATTTATTTTACTCTTATTAAATAATGATTGAATTTGTTGATCAATCTAAAACAACGAAAAGAGATTATTTATATATTGTAAACGCAATCAAAATATTAAACATACAACTTGACTTTCTTCCTCTTCATCAAAATCTGCTAAACCCATAGCAACAGCTTGTATACTTTTTTGTTTTTTCTTTAATTGTATTTCTGATGAATTAAATTCATAACTACCATGTCCACTAAAACCACCACTACCAACTTTTACTTCTATACCCATGGCTTTCACTTTTTTAACATAATTATCCCATAATAAAGTTAATTCTTCTGGTATAGGTGCATTAGATGTTTTCAAAGCTTCTATTATATTACCCGCATAACGTTCTTGTGTTGGTGTAATAAATGTATAAGCATAACCTATATGCCCTGCTCGACCTGTACGTCCACAACGATGTACATAATCTTCATAATGATTTGGACAATCATAATTAATAACAAGAGTTAAATTTTTAACATCTAAACCTCGTGCAGCAACTGATGTTGCAATTAATAATGGTATATCACCATTTTTAAAATCTGTTATTATTGAATCACGATCATATTGATCAATACCACCATGTAATGACATACATGGATAAAGATTACTCATTAATTTGTTCATTAATTCATCGCAATGTTCTTGTGTATCAACAAAAACAAGAATTGAACCTTGTGGTTGATATATACCAAGTAATTCGAGTAATTTTAAATATTTTTGTTCATCATCATCATCAAAAATAACCTAGTGAAATAAGATGAGATTTAATTTAGTTTATTTTTAATTTAGTTTTTTAATACTTACGATATTTTGTATAATATCTTTACAAACTATACTTCGTCCACCAACAGTAACTTCGATAGGTTTATAAAGATTTTTACGCATTAATGCTTCCATCTTTTTAGGAAATGTTGCTGAAAACATAACGATTTGACGATCATGACGAATACTATGGAGAATTTTTGTCACCTAGTAAAAAAAAATATAAAACATATTTTTGTTTCATTGGAATTAAAAACGAACTTTTCCTTATGTACCGATCTCAACAACAGAACTTAGATCAATGATTCACACTGGCAACGTTCCCGAACCTCTAGATCTAGGAACCTGAAAAATGATCTACAAGTATCTATTTTCATTCTTCATTTTCTATTCAAAAGATATATTTTATTTATAATGTCCATCACTATGAATTGTACATAGACAATATTTAACAGCATGAAGAACAGCAGCAGAATGACTGTGCTCCACTACTGATAGAATTATGTGACTATTTTCTCAGAATAACATTAGACTCATCGATAATAGCACGAAGTAGAAGTCAAAATAAAGAATTTCAGATAGAGAAACTTCTTCTACTCTTGAAAATTTAATTGCACTGTTCTTCAATTTTGTAAAGAATTAAATACAATGGAACTTATTGCGAAAATTTTTACTCACACTCATGATTCACTTGATGGATAAGACTTCTGCATGTAAACAAAACAAAATATCTGTATTTCCCATAAAAATTTCGAACTTTAATTGAAAAACATTTATAATGTATATCGAATTATTCGCGATAGAAAATTCTCAAAAACAAAAAAAAAATCATTTTTCTATTCTATGATAAAACAGGAGTAAACTGAGAGTCATTCTTACCTGTGGTTCAAAACCCATATCAAACATTCGATCAGCTTCATCGACAATAATATAAGTAACTCGTCGAACATTTGTTACTCTCCCTAAAAGAAAACCATTCAATAATTTACGTAAAACATCAATGAATCAATTTTTCTACTAACCATTATTAGCAGTTAACATATCAACCAAACGTCCAGGTGTACATACAATAATTTCTGCACCACGTTTAAGTTGTGCCTAAAAAATATATATATTTCAAGATTAAATTTTTAACATGTAAAAAAATAAAAATCAAACATACAATTTGTTCTGATATACTTGTACCACCATAAACAGCAATACAACGAATATCAAATAATTTAGCAAATTTTTTACATTCTCTTGTTGTTTGTAATGCTAATTCACGAGTCGGTGTCATAATAATAGCTAAGACAAAAAGAAATAATTAAAATTAAAAAATATTTACTTTTTTTTTTACCAATTGGACCATCACCATCATTTAATGATGGCTGATCTATTATATGACGAAACATTGGTAAAAGAAATGCTAATGTTTTTCCACTGCCTGTTTTAGAAATACCAATCATATTTCTACCAGAAAGAATAATTGGTAATGCTTGAGCTTGAATAGGTGTTGGATTTTCGTAATTAAGTCTAAAGAAAATATGATTAGTTGAAGAAAAAGAAAAACAAATTTTTTTATATACTTTTTTAAAACTTGTAAAATTTTAGTAGATGTTATACATTGTGACCAAGTTTTTATTGGTCTTGGACATCGTTTACCAACTACATTGATATCATCGAGTTCTTTTCGGTAAGCAGCAACTTCTAAAAAAGAGTTACAAATAAAAGATACAAGAATTTAAAAAAGAAAAACATTCTTTTTACCAGCTTCTGTCATATTAGCTATCTCGGATATAGCTGTATAAAATTCTTTACGAAATGGTCGATAATATATTTTATCATGATTTGTTATCATCATATCCTTTGAAAAAAGAAGGAACGATAAAAATTAAAATTGAATATATTGTTTGAACTGTTAACTTACTAATTTTGATTTTTTACTGTTCATTCCAGATATACTATCAAGATCTTCATTTGACTCAGTAATTTCTTCTTCTGATGAATATTCTAAACCATCCATGTCTTGTTCCATAATTAGACCTTTTTCTTTAGCAGATTTAGCTACACCACTACGAATTGTAACAAGTGATGGAGCTAAGGATGTTTGATCATTAGTATCCATAGGTTCAGTTTTAACTATTGATAAACCATCGTCATGATCATTGGCTGTTAGTACTATACCACTTGATTCAACTGACTACAAGAAATAAAACAAAACAAAAGTTTATTTTAATATTAATTAAAAATATGATTGGATCTTATCCAAAGTTTGCTAATACTCATTTCTAAATTTGATTTTTCAATTCAATAATACTATTACTTGGAAGAGATTTGCGTATGTAAATAATGTTTTATTAAACTCTGATGAAATGAAAAGTACCATGTAGTCTAAAAGTTATTAACTCGAGTCTCTCACGTGTACATAAACTCATACGGAAAGTTTTCCAATTGATAAGTCATATTTGAGTAAAAACGATGTGTTCTTAGCTTATTGTTGCAGAAATATTGATAAAACTGTTCACAAAACGTTTCTTGATAAAATCTAGAGTCTGTTTACCTAAAATTCTGAATAGGAAATCGTTCTATATATAATCAGAGTTTTTCTTTAATTTTTTTTCGAGCGATTACTATTGAGGAAAAACATGCAAAAAGATTTTGTTTCTAAACTTTTTATCTTTAACTGTCATCCTATACACTGAAACTTGAAAATGCCTTAAAGAACTGCTTGTTAACTCTAGTTTATTCTTCATTCGATGTTATAACCTACTACAATTCAACTGAATCTCTCAATTTTTCTTAAGCTTTCTACATCCAATTGATTAATCAATGTTTAAATAAATATTGTTCTTACTTCATTTTTAATTGTTTTTTTAACAATTTGAATAATTGATCCTTTGTTATTATTTTCACGGAAATCTTTAACTTCTTTTGTAATACTTTCCATAAATCTATCTAAAGGATCGTCTTCGTCATCATCGATTTTTTCAACAGTTGTACATGCAGCTGCTTGTGTAGCACGTTCTATTGCTTCTTGTTGTTTATATGTTTTACGTACTGCAGCAACATCACGTTTAAGACTGACTGATGGTATACAAACGTTTTGTAAATCTTCTTCATCGTCGTCATCACATTCATTTTCTAGTGACCAAAATTTACTCTAAAGAGACGAAAAAAAATTATTAAAAATTGAATTAAAATTTATACAAAATGCTCTAAAAGTTCATCGAAATTTGAAGATGCTTCTTTACTCAGCTTTGTCTAGAAGAAAAAACAATATTTAAACCAAACAGAAACTATCTTTATGTATTGCTTCTGTATCGAATTCGATTGATATGATTCGTCTTATAATTATAGGCTGTTTAAACTCAGTGAATAATAAAGCGAACGTGTTTAACTCTTATATTTATGGATATTAAGATTAGTGTAAGTAATGTAAAATAAATGAAAATTTGACCGTCGTTTCAACAAAAATTCTTTGAATTCGAATTAAATAAGGATTTAATAATATTTATTACAATTCTTATTCAACCTTTGTTATCCTGATCCTCTGACAAAACTTGTTACTAAGTTAGTACGCTTAACAAAACGGCCAACAACGTTCATAGTAAAAGCATCTACCCTCTTTCTCACTCCTACGGACTATGATAGACGCTAGGTAGATATCATTAGGTGGCATGCCTTAGTAGTTATGTTGTTCAGTAGTTTGTTAGACTATATGGGGGACCTCAAGAATTGTGAGTCAGGTTGGCCTTCCATCCAAAGTTACAGCTAGTTATAGTTTCAGGAAAGATACTTGGCTATTACATCTACAGCTACGCAAAACTTCATACTACAAGGTAGCTCGAAGACACGAGTGCTCTTCCTTCTTCCAGAGTTTAGCACAAACCTGGAAAGACACATTAGCAAACCCGTCAACATGATATATCATATATCACTAACATCTCGTTCTAATACATCTTAATTACCTATTGCATTTCTGAATGATTAAATAAAACAATTTTACTATGTTGATAAAAACTCTTTTTTTTTTATAATCTTGATGGATTTTCTGAATATTATATATTTGTTTGTTATACTTTTGTAGCTTGTGCAGCTGATTGTCGTCTGACTTTATCAATACCAAGCATTATTCGACGTTCAGCACGCCATTGTTCAACACGAATTTTACGTTTCTGAATTTCTTCTTCCAAACGTTTCTGTTCAGTTTCCTGTTGAAGATATAGAAATCGAAAAAACAATAAAAAATAAAGAAAAACTATTACTTTATTAAGAGGTTCATTTGTAGTCGTTATTATTGATGTTGTTTGATTAGTAGAAGTTTGAATTGATTTACGTTCTTTATCAGCTGTCGATGAACGATATCGAACTGGAGATCTTGATCGTGATGTGCGACGAGTTTCACTGCTTTCTTTCGAATGTCTAACAAAGAAAAACAAACATAGATTTGATATTAATTTGCAAATATGTTTTTATTTCTCATACTTTTTTGATGATTTTCCATTATGTCTATGTCGATGTCGACTAGATAAATGTTTTCTAAATAAAAAAAATCAAATGAATTATTGTTTTGTTCGAAGATACAAAATACCGCAAAGATACAAAAAAAAAATACACAACAGAAAAGATTTATTGTCTAATGTTCATCGACGTTGAATTAACAATTTGAATGTAGAATTGAATGTAAAAACGTATTCCGCTGATCTATGAAAATAAAGAAAAATAGTTGTAGATTTATATACATCAAATAAAGTAAGAGAACTTCTTCATCTATCCGTCAGTGTCGAAACTTAACAATATTTTTAATTTAATCTGAAGTATATTTAGATTTCTGAAAAAGTCAATTTCTATACCTCAAGAAATTTCAGTAATTACAAAAATTTATAAAAATTCTCATTGTTTTTGGAAAAGAGTTCGCTATTTCTTATAGATTTTATTCTGCCTCTATACATAGAAAGATTAAAGGCATTAGAATTATGTTTCTAGTGTTGATTTCAGAAATTTGTTAGTAGTTTCCTCAATTTGAACACGTCTACATAAACATTTTAATCAATTAATTGTTTTTAATGTGAAATTTCTGTTTTGTTATTCCTTTTGAACTTTTAAATAATAGAATTTTAACTGTATGTATCTCATTTTTATGCTGAATTAATAAAAGAATAAAAATTTATTTTTACCCGTAATCGACGAGGAATAAATTTGTTCATCATATATAATTATTGTGCGAGATTTTTGAAGATAATAAAATTAATTTTGTTCAATAAATAATTGAATATTGAGAGTCGCCTAAAAGAAGAACGGGATCCACTTTTTACTAGGATTATTTATATGCAAACAAGAATACATTAAAAAAAACAGAACAAATCAAGATTTCTCATTTAAAAAAGAATTTTTAGAAAAGTTTCATACAAAAAAAAAGTAGAAAAAATGAAAGAAAATTGCTTACCGAGTTGGCATTATTTAATAATATATCAACGCTGTGGTGGCTAAATATTGATAATAAGAGTTTGGAACAGGGGTATATAGTTTTGTAATATTAACTGTCGAGAAAGAAATGAATGGAGAACAAGTGAAATAGTTCTTTCGAAAGAATATGAGTCAACATTTAGCCAATCATTATGATGATCAATAGAGAGCGCAAGCATACAAGTCATAAAGTCGAACACAAAATAATGACGTGGTGTTGTTAAATAATAGAATTCCTAATTGCGAAGAAACGCTGCACTGAACTAAAAATTCAAGAGAGAAGATATATCCAACTATTTTATGAACTGCATGCCGTCGGATGAAAACACCGGTGTCCTGAAGGGAGTGGGTGTGTTCTGCTTCTTTAACCCACATCCTCAAGAAGTTTCATTAACGAAGTAGAATTCATTCACTTCATTCCATAGTCTTATGAAATTAGATAGATATGTTTTCAAAGTTCACATGAAGAACTTAATTATAGACTTTCTTCAACCGATATATAATCAAACTATTTGTAACAATCGAAGAAAATAGTAAGAGATTTCTGTTTTTATCTCAAAACTAGATATACACAAGAAAAGAAAAATATTCTCTTTGTTATTCGAAAGAATATAATTGATGACTAGATTAAAAATAGTAAAAAAATCAGAATAGACGAACGGATCTTTTGAAGATTCTTCTACTAGAACAGTATTCATTCAACGTACATGTTATGAGGTTGTTCCCACTTTGACATCTCTCTCCATATATAGAAAGAAAGAAATACTGGTATTGTATAGTCCCTAATGTTCTAAGATGCCCTTTTTCTGAGTAAGAGTGCAGAGTGAAATGCATTTTTTTTAATTTTTTTTCCTTCGCGTTCTATTTCCTTCCTGTTATATTTCCTCACTGAATATAAAGCAAAAAAAAATATTACTGGCAACCAACTATACCAATGCAACAGTGTCATCTTTAATCTATTATTTATCTTCGTCAAGACGATTTTGTCAGAATAATTTTGGAAGCAATAGATTTCACATGACTACAAGTAACTCAAAATATAACTCTTTGTTCAAAGAACTCGATTCAGCAAAAATATATGATTATGTTAAATCATTTATTTCAAATCTTCATAATCATCTGAATACTCTTCGAGCTGATTCTTTTAGACCAGAACATCGAGATGAATTTCTTGGTCTATGTTCTCAATGACAGGATTTAATTATTCAAACACATGGTTTTTGTGATAAAGCTCTACTATATCTTGAATATGCTCTTACACAATTTAATTCATCAGATCCTGTTAATGTGAAAATTCTAATCGAACAACTTCTTTCTCGAGTCGATCCAAAACATATTCTTGATCAATGTCAACGATTGGAAGATAAGATTTTGTCATTTAATAATCGAATTGGTACGGATGAATATTACGAAACAAGTAATATCATGCCATTTCTTTGCACTGGTTCTGGTACCGCCCTGGCTATTATATCTTTAATTGGTTTCTTATTTATGCCTGTAGTGTTGGAAGTTGAAATGGCTTCAGCAACAACTGGCTCTTTGATTACTAATAATGCAGTTCCATCGATGATTTTACTTTCTGTAGGTATCTATAAGACATAATTATTTTGAAGATGAAAACTAAATCTTGATATCTTGAATAGGATTGACCAACATAACAGCAGAAAACGATTTTAGATAATGTAAAAAAAAAATTATTGAAGCAAGTGAATATGTTCTTCAAATGAAAATGAAATTATCGAATATCATTGCACTGTATGATCAGCTTGAAAGTCAATTAGATGTTCAAGATATTTATGATCTTCAGCCAATTTATGAAAATCTCTTGCAAAATATGCGAAATATTCATGATATATGTTCAAAACATGTTTCTATTTAGTGTAAAAACTAATTCATCTATTGATTTATTACTGAAATTATCATGTCGATTCAAATAAAAACAAAAAAGAATATAAATTATTTGAATCAAAGTAGATATTTAACATTATCTTCATAGAACGAAGTATTACATCTATCTGATATAGAAATTACATCGGCAATGAAATGATACACTTGTGATGGTTTCTTTCAAGCGGAATTTTTTTTTTTATACAAGGAATTTTCACAATCGTTCTAAATGATGTTTTTTTCTATCATAGAATAAATGGAATATAGTCTTTCTTTGACATTAAGTGTGTTTTTTTAATTAACAGTTGTTCATAGTTTGTCTGAAAAATGACAAATGTATCTAATGCTTGAGATAATGTCATTATTGGCATTGTAATTTGTTTACATCGTTGAATTAAGCCAACAAACATAAATTTACCATCTTCAGTACTGTAAAATTTACGAGTCTACTAAAGAATAACTTCAATCGATCAAAACTGTCTCCACTTTATAATATTACCAAAAATGCCATAACCATGAATTCCTATTGCTGAATCTTTTCTTTCAAATTCTGGTGTATCAATGTTATCTCGATATTCTTTAATAAAATATTAACAAACTTGTACAACATGCCGACGTTCGTTTGGTGTTTTAATACTTGTTTCTTTCAATGCATTAGCTACCTAAAATAAAAATTCAAAACTCATCTAATCCGATTAATTTTTTCTTTAAGATTTTACTCCAGAGTGTGGGGATGGGTAAGCATCTTCAATTCATTCACACCCACATCCACACCCTAAAATATACAAAACGAGCAATAGCAATTTTCAAAGCAATATAAATAGCACTTTTGTCCAATTTGAAAACAATCAAATTTTTCTACTTGTTATTGTAAATAATTCTCTTTTGTCCAAGCACTCAAATGATGCCAATTACTTTGATTGTTTTATTACTAAATAGAAGAAAACTTTATTTATTCTTGTTATAATATTTTCGTTTTTCCCAAATCAATGTTTCTATTTTGAAAAAATGATCTAAGAATTGACTATGACAGATGCAAACAAAATCTTGCCTTGACAATAACAATGTGAAAGTTAGATTTCGTCATTTGTAGATACAACACAATTACTTCGATTATTGCACTGAGTTTATAAAACAAGAAAAAATATGTGCTATGAATAATAGGTCACATTATCGGCTTGGTAATAGCTAGCCACGTATTGATATGGAAAGTGAAATACTGCAGAAAAGATGTGCTATTATAACTTTATATTCTAACAATATCGATTTTTGAAAAGAAAGAGATTCAACTTCTGTTCAAATATCCATCATATATATGAAAGTTCAAAACGATTTCATAGTTAGTGTTTTACAAATAAGATTTCTGACAGAAATATATTTCTAAACTTATTTTCATCTAAATATCAACATACGTAATTCATTATCTTCGTTATATCCATATGGAAAATAAAAATATAAAAAGTCATATAAAAAGTCGCTCATTCATTCACTAACATAAATTTACTAATAATCTTGTCGTCGATTTTTAATATCGATCTAAGCATTTCATTACGACGATTTCGAATATGTTCTTCATAGTAAAACATGTCAATTTCCAATTGAGAATCAATCTTAATTATGATCTATATTGTCGAAATCTTGGCATCAATCGATCTACTTTCATAATGGTCGTATATATTGAAATAAAAAAGTATTGAATTTCATTTTTTTTCTTTTATTTGAATAATAAGCATTCTATTTCTGATTTAATCGATAGTCAAAAATATATTATATATGAACAAAAAACGAAAGAAAAAAAAACTGAATTTGAATTATAGTAAATAACAAAATATAAATTTTAAATACATTTGATGCACAAAAAGTTTTCAATGATCGAAATAAAACTTGATGAAATATGAAATACAATTTAATGAGTAACATGATGTAATTTTCATCTTGTACATTTATGCTATAAACGTATACGAATGTCATCTCTATTAAATGTTAAATCATTTTGTTTCAATCGAATCAAAGAATTTTTCAACTGTTAATTGTTGATCAACTAATTCATGTTAATAAGTTTATTTTAAGGATACTCAATTGATTAAAATAAAATTTTCCTTGACATCTTACGTAGACACTTCATTCCTTGCAATTATTTCTTTAAGGCAGATAATTTTGACTTTTCATTGTATTATTAGCACCGATTTGAATACCATTCTTTGATGATGATTGATTTCTAAATGAAAAAAGAAATTATTATCTTGAAGTGGTACTTAGCAAAGTGATATACTGTCGTTTAGGTATAGAAAGTGGATTAATAGTACGTGTCCATAGCATTATCATCTTGTATTTGTGCTTTACGTATATATTTCTTATGTTTTTCTTTCTAACATCGAGAAAATCAATATTTGATTTTCAAAAAACAAATAAAAGATAAACAGTAAACTGTTTTAAATAAAATAAATTGAATAAGATCAATAGGAACTTCATTATTTTCTGCATCGACTTTGTTTTTGTATATACGACATCTTGTATGAGTTCTTGTTATAAATGTTTCAGATTTTCTAATCATCGACCAGCTATTCATCGTGAAACTAAAAGTAATTTTCTTTGTTTTATTAAATCAAAATAGTAAATGCCTTAATCTGGCTAAAACTTGATTATTTGTTTGAAATGAATTTTAAGGTCTTAAATATGTGTCTTCAAAAATTCAGCTAGATGCTTCTTAAATCTATTAAAGTTTTAATAGTTTAACAAAATGAATATTGGTTTTTTGTTGTTTGTTTTTATATATCATAAATAAATAATTAATCAATATTAATGCATACGAATAATATGATCAAATGAAGTATTTCAATGATATCCTATACATGGAATTTATTTTAGAATATTTTTTTTTGATCTCATTTTAATATACTTTATAACATTAACCACTTAATGAACCATTCTTTTTTCATATCATTCATTAATACTTTTAATTCAATCTTTTCAGGATGTGGTGATAATAATATGAATAAATAATTGATTTGGCTTATTTGAACGTTGACAATATTAATACCACCAAATTATATTTTACAGTTTATGATAATTAAATATTAGCTTGACCAACAATAATTCAACTGCGAGAAAACAAATAAAATAGAATTCAAATTTATAATATTGTTTGATTTACTTTGAGTACTGTTTTTTTTTATAAAATTTTCAGATTTTTTTTTCAATTTTTAGTTTTTTTCCTTTTGAGATATATTTTGAATTCTAGAAAAAAAAGGAAACGTTTCATTTAGAAAATTCAGTTTCGTTGAAAAGACTCACAAATTATATAAATAAGAAACATTTTACACGAAATTTTTCTACTAAAAACGAAATAAACCACAACTGTGTATAGATAAGATAAATGCAAACTTGATTTTTTAGTCTTCACTTTCTGACGGAAGACGTAGGAACCGTCGACGCCGAACTGATGTTCGTGCTGGTTGTTGTGCAGGTCCATTTATTTGTTGTTGAAGCTGTGTTATTTGTATTTGTTGTGCTTGAACTTGCGCCTGAAGGTTTCCATTTTCTTGTTGCAACTAAAAGATAAAAATGAAATGGCAATATATTGAACAATTTTGAAGATACTCACTTGTGAATTAGCTTCTTGGGCAGCTTCCAATTGTTTTTTAAGACTTGGTGGCTACAATATAAATAAAACAAAACTTAATCATGTTTGTAGAAAAAATTTTGAAACAGAAAAAAAAGAACTATGAGCATGCATAACTAAACAGAGTAACACGATTCATATCATGCTACACTAAACCCTACAGAACTATACAATGCATGCACATTACTATTTTGAATAAAACCTTACTGTTGTTGGTACAACTTGCATGATCTGAAATAAGCAAAAAGATTCAAAGCAAGCGTCTCATGAGAAATACCAATACAAGCTAATAAGTGAAGAAATATATACATCTACCACCAATATCAAACAAGAAATACAACGATACACATACATATAGGTATAGAAAAAAAAATAAGGAGCAGAAAGAGTTAAAGGAAGCAAAATCATTATAAATAATTAAATTCACAGTCAATCCACTAAAATACAACTTACTAATAAATTCAAGTTTTTATTTTGACACATTTTTGTTAATGCTGAAAAAAATCATCTGTTGTTCAACAATAATCAAAAAGTCCTTCTAGCTGTTTCGCTCTGAAATCACAGATCGAAGAATATTAAAAAAAAATACTCACCAGCTGGTACAATGACTAGTAAAAAATCTAAAAAAAGAAAAAGATCAATCTCATATCGAGAAAAATATAGACATAAGTAAAAATTAAAATAATATCATCCTTTTCAATAAATGCAAGTACTGAGTTAAAATAAAATACCACCTACTCAAACACTATCTATTCAAATGATATATAATATCTTTTTCATAGCTATTTATATCACAATGTTAGATAATAACAAAGATAAAATGTGCTTTGTTCGCAAACTAAGCTGATGTGTTAGACCTCAAACAGACTAGACGGATTAAAGTGATCTAAAACTGAACTAACGAATACATTGGTCGAGAAAAAACAACCGTACATGAAAAAGCATTAAGAGATGGGGTTATTGATCAATAAAACAAATTGTAACATATTGGTTATGAATTTCCAATATTTACGTAGATTTTCATTATATGTGTAACATTTGAGTTTTTTTCTTATAACATACACTTCTCGGCATCTTCCAAGAATAATAGTATCATAACATTGAGGAATCTTTTTAACTATTTTCTATGACTTAAAATCGATTGGAACACGATTCTCCGAAGTTTCTTTCTAATTGCCCAAGAACAAAATGTTTAACTGTTGCCATACTATAATATCTTTTCATAAATTCACGATTAACATTATTCTCAGGTATTGCCAAGGAAGCATGAGAAAGATTTACTGAGTATGCAACTTCTTCATTCATCATTGAAAGAGAATTATTTTACGTTTAATAAATGAAATAACAGTATGAGTGCCAAAAAATTTTTTACAGAGGACTTGAAAAAAAAAAGATTTCTATATAGAATGCTTTCTCTTATCGATTCGACAAAGAAAATTAAATTTATTTTCGCTTGTCTTTGTAAAACTATTCTTTCTTTATACTACCATGATATTTATGCTATTAATTATGGTTGTTTTTTTTTTGTTTTGTTGGCCTTGTTAATTCTAAATCAATCGTTTAAATCAAAGATTATTTTGTGGAAAAAAAAGTAATAAATATTCTGATAAATGAATTTATTCAAAGACTATTTTTGTCGCAATGAATTTTTTTGTACAAAATGTTTCTGCATCTGTAGAAGCATTTAATCAATTTACTCAAAATAAAGCATATGCTATATCTTACTGAAGAAATTAGGATTAAATCTTAAGATATTAATAAATAGTATTAAATGCTACTGAATCATTAATTGATCAAGTAGTTCATTGTCTTATTATGTTAATAAATATTGAAGAAGATTATGAAATAATTAATCAAATCTATTTACAATGTTTTAAATTATCTGAATTTTATCCTGTATGATTTTCAATGAATGTTGTCAAATTAGCATACAATGCTAAAACAAGTAAAAAAACAATCAAATTGATAAATAAGTTTTAAAATAAAAATAAAATATTTTGTCATATAATTTCTTTTTGGATAATGAATAAATTGCTTAAATGTGATTATACATGTATAAGTGCCTATCCATTATTACAATTTTATATAAGTGCGTGAATAAACGACATGTTTATACACAAAGACAATACAAAACAAAACAAAAAAAGAAAAAGAAATTTTTAAGCTATAGTTCTCCACCATGTTCTGCTGATGAAGTAATTTTTGATGGCCATAGTTTCTTTAACCATCTTTTTCCATGAAATGATTCATCAGTCGTTGATTGATGCTGTTGTTCATCAGTTTCATTTCCACATAAAGGCCTAGTTGGCTCTCCAACACCGTGTTCTTGATGCATTTGACTTATATATAGGTACCCAATCCCTCAACCAATGGTTTATAATGTTCAAAAAAGAAAGCATTTATTTGTGCATCCAAAATAAGAATTGTAGCAAAATAAAAAAAGAATAGAAGAAGAATAACTGCAAAACAATTTGTCCTAATAAAAAAAAAAATAGAAACTAATATTTATTTAAAATAAATTCAATATGATTAATTGATTTACCTGCATAATTTCCCATAAATCTTTGTACATATAATGGAACTGAAATAATAAATATTTCAAGTGTACAAGCCGCAACGAATGCTCCACACCATGTAACTTTAAATGACATTTTTTTATTTGGTACAAACCAATAAATACTTTCAAAAAAAAATAAATCCAACAAGTAATGAAAACATCATTCCAGCAAGAAATGTTCCAAAACGACCACCACCACCTGGTATAATACTTGTTAAAGCTGCTGGTGCTGAATTAGCTGCAAGCATTATTGGAATAATTGTTATAAATAGAAAAAGCATTCCAAAAGCTAACAAATTTTGTCGAAGAAATGTTCGTTGAGGTAAACGATAAACAATAGTCATACATTTATCAATAGCAATAAATAATCGAGATGCACCAAATAATACAAAAAAAAATACCAATAACTAATATGAAACCGGCATCTTTTGATAAACGATCAAAAGCAAGATCTACTACCTCAAAAATAAAACAAAAACAAAACAATATTTGCTTATTTTAAATGAATTTTATTTACTTGTTTAATTCCAGCTTGTGTAGTATTATCCGCTGGAAAGAAATGAATAACTTTTTCTTTCACTTCATTTTGTACATCAGGATAATTTTTCAAAACTAAACCTGTTATTCCAAATAATGCAACAGCTATTGGAAGAAGAGTAATTAATATATTATATGCTAACATTGCAGAAAAATCCATTGACCAATCATTTAAAAATTTACTAATAAAACGACGTA